CCCGGCCCCCCGGGCGCCCCCAGCCATTGGCTCCATCTTACCCGGCACCGAGCCTGGGCACCTCGGTGCCGCAGCTGGCGATGTCGCAGTCTGTACCAAGTCTGGGTGCCCCGGTACCACAACTGGGTGCCGTAGAACCCTCGGCACCGGGTCTGGGTCCCCCGGTGCTGCAACCGTCAGCGAGCCTTCCAGCACCGGGCATGGGTCCCCCGGTGCCGCAGATCGCTCGGCCCCGCCGTACTCATGCGGGTAAGCCAGAGTCCATGGCAAGGTTTGCCGCGCACTCCTCCTCGGCTCCACCATGGCCGGAGTCTGATTACTCTTTGGACTCGGATGTTGTCTCCGTCCATTTGGGCTCTTCGGGAGCATCCTCGGCCCACAGGTCCAGGTCCAGGCATAGGAGGGACTACACTCAACAAACGTGGCCGCCGCACCCGCAGTGGCCTTTCTGGACCTCCTGGGCCTACCATCAGTGGCAAGGTCAGCTGCCTCCTTCTCTGGGGTCGGGGACTTCAGGGCACTGATCCCAACCGTCGGCGTGCCTGTCCCGGGCCCCTTCCTCCCCTCTTCGGGCGCCGCAACCCGATCCAATGGCACCGCAATCATCGGCACCGGAGGTGAACCCATCGGGAGCGCAAGCCGCCCAGACGGCACCGCAGTTGGCGACAGCTGTTCCTGTGCCAGTGCAGGAGTCCTCGTCGTCGTCTCCGGACGAGGCACTAGCAGACCCTGCATCGAGTCTGCCGTCAATGGATGCCTGCACTCACCAGGACCTCCTCTGCTGCATGGCTTCCAACCTGGCCGTTACGGTGGAGCCTGTCATCGAGGACACGGATCCAATGGTGGACATCCTCACTGAAGATGCGCCTATGCGATTGGCCTTACCGCTTAACAGAACGGTGTCAAAGATTACCAATGCCCTGTGGCAAACGCCGGCAACCTTGACCCCTACCTTAAAAGGGGCCGAGAGGCGTTATTACGTCCCAAACTCGGGGCATGAATACCTGTATTCACAACCCATCCCCGGGTCCTTGGTCGTACAAGCCGCGGCCCAAAAGGAAAGACTCCCTCAGCCTGGTCCTTCCCCAACGGCAAGGGAACCTAAGCGGCTGGACCTGTTGGGCCGTAAGGTTTATGCCACAGGAGAGCTGCAACTGCGCATCGCGA